ATTTTAAATGTTTTTAAAAATATTATTATTTTTTTTTATTCAATATTAGGCCAAAATATATATGTGTGTGTGTAATAAATAATATATATATATATATACACACACACACACTAGGGATGCACCGATATATCGGCCGCCAAAAAACACATCTGCCGAAAATGGCACTTTTGGCTAAAAGCCGAAAGTGCCATTTTCCTGCCGATACATCGGTGCATCCCTGCTTTCTTTCCTCCCCGCTGGGCTCTGCTCTGTGTCCCAGCGGGGGGGGAGAGAAACTGTCACAGGGGGCCGAGCGCTGCGGGAGTAGAGCACTGTGAGCGGCGGTGTCTCTCCTCCCACACCGCTCAGCCTCCTATCACAGTCCGGCAGAGCGGTGTGTGGGCGGAGTCAGGCCGCGCTGTCATAGGAGGCTGAGCTCTCCTCCCTACACCGCTCGCTCAGCCTCCTGTGACAGCTGTCAGGATGGAGAGCGGGTACAAGCAGTCGGTGATCAGTGATCACTGAGTGTTTGTAGATAATTGAGGACATGATATGTGTACTATATCCTCAATTATGAATGAATGGGAAGTGATCTACATCACCTCCTGTTCATTCATCATTGTAGTTATAGTAAACACACTCTGTCCTCATGTTATCAATGAACAGGAACACTTAGTATAGAGGATTCCTGTTCATTGATAACGGGGGATACAGAAAAAGAGATTGAGGACTCTGCGTCCTCAATCTCTTTTTCTATTTTAAAAGGGAAATATCGGGGGTTTAGACCCCGAATATTTCCCTGAAGCCCCTAAAAGCAAAGTTAAAAATAAATAATTATAAAAAAATTAAAATGTTTATAATAAAAACAAAATATTTTAAAAAATTGAAAAAAATAAAAAGATTTTTGGTTTCGGCCTGACAATTTTTTTGTATTTTGGTTTTTACATTTCTATTTCGGTGCACCTCCAATATATACGCACATACACACACCGAGCAACCATAGCATTATGACCACCTGCCCAATAATGAGTTGGTCCCTCTTTTGTTGCCCTCTGACCCGACGTGGCATGGACTCCACAAGACCTCTGAAAGTATGCTTTGGTATCTGACACCAAGTCATCAGTAGCAGATCCTTTAACCTTTTCCTTGCCAAGTCCTCCGAAACGTTTTTAACCTCAGCAGGCCACACCATTTTTGGCATTTCTCACCAACTTTTTATTTTTATTTTCAACTGCAGCTTTTAGAGTTTGTAAAAGACCCCCAAACCATATATTTTCTGAATGCACAGGCCCGTTAGAATAAAAAGATGATGCTATTAATTTTGTAGGTCCTGTGATAATTGCGCATATGTTTGTCAAATTAATGTTAAACCGATAAAAGCACACTAAAATCAGTATCGGTGCACAAAATAAAATACTTTTGCGACTAAATCTAAAAGATAAAACTGTATTGAGTTAATAAATAACAAATATTTGTAAATTTTAAATTGAAAAGGTAAAAAAATCAAGAAACGCAAAACTGTAAATAAGCAACTTATGTTAAAAATCGTTTGTGCGCTGTGTTAGTGCGTGTTGTGATAAAATGATACAGGCGTAAATTTAATCGCAACACAGCGTTGCACAACACACGGCAATGCGTCATAATGCTTTGTGACATGCTGCCACACAGTTAATTTTTTTTTATAAATTCTTTACGGTGACGGTGTTAAAGCGTTGAAAAAAATAAGGGGAGGGTGTTCCCCCTGCTCAGCTAGTCAGTGACCCGTAAGTATCTCAAGAGGGGGACATATAAGTGTCCAAGTGCTTATAAGCGCATCTGTGGATCCGAGGGAGGTGTGGGGAGGGACTTCTATCCCTAAGTGAAACGACATCCTGTCAATAGCATGCATAAGAGATGTCGTTTTTAAAACTTTAGTGTGCACAACAAAACAAACCTGAACAAAAGAAGAAAAAACACAGTGTTAGGCAAGTGAATGTGAGTAGGTTGTGTGGGTAAAGGGTTAAGTGATGGAAAAGGAAAGAAAAAAAAAAAGGGGGATACGGCATAAATGGGCCAGTAGTTACTAGGTCACTAAAGAGAGAGAGATGGTAGTAGGGCATATACCTAAAAAGGGTGGGGAAACAGGAAAGGCAGGGAGGAGATGGGATAAGGTTTCCCCATCAGGAGCAGGTCAACATTCTCCTATCTGAGGGTAAGGTAGTCAGGGGAACACAGTTAAATTGATGCTATTTTAAAAAGAAAAAAAATCAAGCACTGCGATATGTTCTAATAATGCAGCGCATGTACATGGTGTACACCACAATATGGTGCACCTGTAGGTTATCTGTGTGTGGTGGGGAGAGGGGGCTGTGTGTTTATTTTTTTTATTATTTATTCATTTAATTATTTGTTTTACTGTTGGGGGCTTCGGGGAAATAAAAGGGGTCTAAACCGACCCCTGACATTTCCCTTTTGAAATAGAAATTGAGGACACAGAGCCTGCAGCCTCTGTTCTGAATGAATGGAAAGCACTCAGTACAGAGGCTTCCCATTCATTCACAAACTGGGAATAGTAAATATTTACTATCAACTAGTTATGGATGGGTAGAAGCCTCTGTAATGAGCTTCTTCTCCCAATTCAGAAACTCAAGAATGAACAGGAAGTGATGTAAAACACTTCCTGTTCACAACTGGGGACACAGTACTATGTGTCCCCAGTTGTTTACGAACACTGTGTCCCCAGTTGTATGTGTCCCCAGTTGTTTGCAAACACTGGAGTGATCAGCGATCACTCCAGTGTTTGTGCTGCACACAGAGGATCGGTGAATATCACACATATTTACCGATCCTCCGCTCAGCCACGCAGAGAGCCACTGTCATCCTGAAACTGACAGCATGACACTGCTCTGCTCTCTTCTCTCCACTTACCACCGGCTCCTCTCTTCTCCCACTTGGCCATCCTGACAAGCGGCTCCTTCCTCCGCCCCTCTGCCAGCTTCAGCTCCTCGGATTCCTGCTGCCTCAGCCCATACAGATGGGGGAGAGCAGCGGGATCCGAAGAGAAATAGATCCCAGCCTGGAGCGGCTCCAGGTGGGTAGTAGAGGCTGCAGATTGCGGCAGCCGTCAGCAGCGTTGTCGGCGCGGGGGGGTGCCCAGAATTTTTTTAAATAGCTGTCATCAGTGACTTTTCAGCTGCTGATGAGAGCTATTCATTTACAGGGGACCGCCAGGGGAACCCGTCTGGTGTAAGTTCATGGGCGCTAAATCGACCATGAGCTTATAGCAGAAAATTAAAAGCCACTGACGTATGACATACTGACTTGGCCAGCTGCAATCTGTTGTGTTCTGCCCTATGCCATACAAAAGGGTTAAGTCCTGTAAGTTGTGAGATGGGGCCTCCATAGATCAGACTTGTCTTTCCAGCACATCTCACAGATTCTCAACGCATAGAACTCAATGTTGTGTTCCTTTCTGAACCATTTTTGCATGTGGCAGTACACATTATCCTGGTGAAAGAGGCCACTGCCATCAGGTAATATAATTTCCATGAAGGGGTGTACTTGGTCAGCAACAATGTTTAGGAAGGTGGTACATATCAAAATAACATCCACATCAATGGCAGGACCCAAGGTCTCCCAGCGGGAACATTTCCCAGAGCATTACTTTCTACACCAGCCCTTCTTCCCATAGTGCATCCTGGTGCCATCTATTCCCAAAGCAAGCGATGCACACGGCCCCGGCCATCCACATGATGTAAAAGAAAATGTGATTCATCAGACCAGGCCACCTTCTGTCATTGGTCTGTGGTCCACTTCTGATGCTCACATTGCAGGTGCTTTTGGCGGTGGACATGGCTCAGCATGGGCATTCTGACCAGTCTGCGGCTATGCAGCCCATTAACCAACAAACTGCGAAGCATTGTGTGTTCAGACAGCTTTCTATCAGAACCAGCATTTGCTTTTACAGCAATTTGAGCTACAGTAGCTCTTCTATTAAATCAGACTACACAAGCCAGCCTGCGCTCCCCACGTGCATCAAAGAGCCTTGGCTGTCCATGACCCTGTCACCGGTTTTCCTTCCTTGGACCACTTTTATTAGATCCTGACCACTGCAGACTGGGAACATCCCACCAGAGCTGTGGTTTTGGAGTTGCTCTGACCCAATTGTCTAGCCATCACAATTTGGTCCTTCTCAAAGTCCCTCAAATCCTTATGCTTGCCTGTTTTTTCTTCAACTTCAGGTACAAAATGTTCACTTGCTGCCTAATATATGCCACCCACTTCCAGGCCATTGTAACCAGATAATCAATGCTATTCACTTCACCTCTCAGTGTTCATAATGTTATGGCTGATCAGTGTGTATAAAAATTGTATACAATCAAGGAAACACAACAACCATAGTGTCAATTAGATTTTGTTATATTGGCAATACAAAAGCCATCTTTGTAGGCGAACAGACCAAAATGTTACTTAAAATCTATCACTTGGTACCCTTATAAAATCCAATTATTTTCCTTGTAACCAATCTATACAAATCGGCGGATGTGGTACCCATTTAAGCCACTGCATCTTGGTGCTGCTGATCTTCAGCCACTTCCTGTGTACTATACATACTTGCTTCAGTGTCAATTGTTCATCATTGTTCTGGACTGACTTTCTGAATATGCCTGTTCAATGTGTGACGGCACGGCCACTTGTAGTGTCCATCAGGGGCACAATTGAAGACTGGTGATCCCATAACAGGAAGCGCCTGAACAAGGACCTTCATGGCAGGATCATCCAGGTATTATTTTAGTGAAAGCTGCAGATTTAAGAGATTGAAAATGACATTAAAGCCCAGCTCCAAACACAGCAATCTTCCCAGCTCCCACTGAACTTCCATACCCGCCTTTAGATGTAAGTTTTGCAGGTCTCATAGACTTTAGCGCTGCAGTTGCATCTCAGTCGCTCTCTCCTCCTGGCCAATCACAAAGCAAATGGCCTCAGGCTCCATTAATTCTGTAGAAATGACATATTTTATTTCAGAGCAAAATATTTTGAAGTGGTCTATATTCTTTAAAAGAGAACTATGGGGTTAGGGCTTTTCCCCATAGTTCTCCTTAGGGTAACGGGAGGACACAAACTAGCGTCCTCCCGTCACCCTAAGCTCAGTATACCACGAGCTACAGCTCGCAGTATACTGAGACGCCGCAGCTGAAGTGGATCCCGACAATTATGTCTGGATCCGCCCAGCTGCGTGCGCCCCCTCCCCCGTCCGTTCCGCCAGTCAGCGCTGGCAGATCGGAGCGGGGAGGGGGGAATCCAGTCCCTCCCCTGTCACGGCAGAGTGCCGTGACAGGATCGAGAAGTGAGCTAACGCCGGTATGTGTTCGCTCACTTCCCGATCTGCTGAGCCGACCTGTGACAGTCTCATTGTCACAGGTCGGCTAGAACTCTGAGGTGAGTGAAAAGCACTCACCTCATAGTTCTCCTTTAAGGCAAAGTATACTGTGCAATAACTCCTATGTGCAAAATCCTGATTAACTGTTATGCTTTAACCTTTTAAAAGGTGATATTTGGCAGTTTTGTTATGGGTACCACTTCTCCATTTATGAGCAAATAAGTTTATCTTGTGTGTACAGTTTCTGTGGTGTGTATTCACTCTGTAAATTTATATCTCTCCAGCAGTTACTGTCATAATGAGTGGCAAGCACCCTTCCCGCAGTTACCTGAAACCAGCAGCTGTGTCCTCCACAACACTAGGTCATAGCTATCACTTTGCACCTATGGGCAATTCAGAGAATGACTTATCAGAGGAGGATGCCGAGGAGTATGAACTGCGGCCACGAGGGAGGGAGAAGACTAGAAGGAGCACATCCAAAGAGCGCCTCGATGACATCATTTTTATCAGCAAAGACATTGGAGAAGGGGACACCTTAAATTCGATAGCCCTCCAACATTGCTGTACTGTAAGCACTTCCTTATTTCTACATTTCATTTTAAAGTATTACAAAAACTGTTGTGTTCTGATGATCATGTGCATAAAGAATAGATGTACATGTGCTACACAGCCTGTTCTCCAAAAATCCCCGGCCTGGGTTCTGCTTCTTCCACACATGTGCACCACAGTCTCCATTGATTCCTATGAACTGGCAATCTACTGTTGGAAGAAAAACTGAGTGGCCTTTCTGTGTAAAAGAAGGTTGTGCTGTCTGCGCATGAAAGAAGCAGAGCCAAGCTAGGAGGTGTTTGGAGAAGAAGCTATGTGGCTCTTGGAAGGCCTCACAGCAAAGAGCTCAGAGGAGTGGGGACGGATGGCCTGTGCTTACCAGTGATAGCTTTGACATGAAGGAGGAGTTGCTTTAACCAATATGTCTGTGAAGATTCTCATTCATTCAGATCATGGTATATCTGTAAACAATAGATCAAGACAGCTGAACTTGCTGTATTTTTCTTGAAGATGTTTCACTGGCCAAGCGCTGTGCAAACTGTCAAACTGTTGACACTATATAAATCCTGAATAATAATAATAATCCGACTAGCTTTCTCAGTCCAAAATTACTAAAATTCTCTGGGAATAAATGTGGTGAATGTTGCGCCATCAACATAATCTGTTAATCATAACCAGCATAGGGTCAGGGACCTCATGGAGGTAAGGTGTTGATTGCATTTGCCGAATTATATGTGGCAGACAATGGATGTCTCACACCCCCCCTCTTTTCAAACGTCTCCATTTTTACATGGGGGAGGCGAGACATCTATTGTCTGCCACATACAATTCTGTTTTAACACCTCTCTGGGCGAGTTAATAACACATGCTAGCTCCAATAATGCAAGAGGCATGTGTATTCTGACTGTGCACCAGCATGAAACAACTCCTGTACTTTGTCTTTGTGCAGAAACTTCCTGTAATAAAGACCAGTCACTGCTGTGCTCTCTCCTTGTGCAGGGTGACTGGTCTTGTATCTGTCTCCATGTCATTTGTTTTGCAGAGTGCCTGTAGTGGGTCGATCTCATTGGTCCCACCCACAGTTCGGCTCTATGCAAAGACTGCATATAGCATGGTGAAGATGCACTCCAAGGTGGATTTATATGCTTTATTGCTGTTAAAGAATGTATTGAGATTAAATTATTTGTGTCCAGCGTTTAGCTTTGAGGTTTCGGGAATCCTAGAGACCTGTGGTAGGCAGTCTTGGCATTCCAGCTTTTGTGGAACTACCAGTCCCATGAGGCATTGCATTATAGGAATTGTAGTTCCACCACTGCGGGAATACAGAGGTTGCCTACCCCTGCCATAGACCTTTTCACCTGCCAAAACCTTTTTCTGCGGTCACATTGGGGTTGGTGCTTAGCGGAATTCTAATTGAAAAATGTTTCCCTCCAGGTGATTTGTAGGAAGAAAAATGACAAATGTTCTCATTTCTCATACATGTATTAACTTCTACAGTATATTCTCTATCTCTACAGGTTGCAGATCTGAAACGAGCCAACAACCTCATTAATGAACAGGACTTTTTCGCATTGAGGACAATAAAAATTCCTGTGAAGCGTTTCAGTTTACTGACCGACACATCGTTTTCCCCAAAGGGAAAGCAATCCAGGACTCTGCCTGGCCAGCCATCAGAAGACCAGCAGGACAGCTTCTTATTCCAGGCAATACCTTTAGAGACCGCCAACAGTTTTCTACAAGAAGTTGACCGAGATATCAAGCAGATTGTAAAGTCCACAGACGCGACAAAAGAGAACCTGCATGAAGTGGTTTCTGCTTTAAGCCCCGATCCCCATTTTGAACCTGATTTCATAGTGGCCAAACCGAAAGACCCCTATTATGGAGCCGACTGGGGTTTAGGCTGGTGGACAGCTGTTGTCATCATGGTGATTGTTGGAGTAGTCACGCCAGTGTTTTATTTTCTCTATTATGAGGTTCTCGACAAGCAGCCTCATTTAAACGCATCCCATGCAGCCATTCATTTAAAGGAAAACTCTTCTCCTGGGAATAGTTAACAGGTGCAGCCTTCCTGTGGACTCGATATTGTGCTCCTATCTGCACCAAGAGAAGCAGAGATGGGAGACGTAGCCGAGCAGCAAACAATGCACTGAACTTTGGTAATGCAAGATAGAGATTGTATTTTATGAAGATGCTGCTTTAGTATTACAATGCAACTGGTTCCTCTGTGAACATAAATCTATTTTTGTACATGCTTGCAGATATTTAAATCCTTTACGCACAGAATAACCACTTATTTTTATATTTATTGTCCTGATAACATTTTAGAGCTATGAAAGCAAACCCATTATTCTCCATATCCCAGACAGCTAACCTTTTAAATGTAGACTAGACCACTTTTGGTTGATGCAACTCTTTCGCTGCCACCGCCGCAAGGCTTACAACGCCAGCAGCAGAGATCTGTCAATGGACTCCTGGTTGCTGTTGTAGCCTTGAGGTTGTTTACATGCCTGCTGTTGGCTTTTCACTTGAAGTGATTTACAGCCACCCGATCACTTCTACAGCCTGCAACACACTCTGGGTCTCGCCACACACGCCAAAGTGTGAGCAATAATTCTAGGGCCATCATTCAAGCATAGCTTATGGACAATTTTGGGTGTCATAGTTTGTTGTTGCTTCATGGTCGCGTGCAATTTTAGGGCTTGACATGTTTGGTATCTGTCTACTCAAAACAACCTAATTTCTTATATTTTATTAAAAATAGGATAATATATTGTGTTTGTGTGCTGTAAAATTAAAGTGACACTAAACTCGGGAATTATCACTCAGTTGTAGACCCTCATATCATATTTGAATTCATGCTGACACCGTCCTTCCTTCTGGAGGGGGGCTACTTTTATTTTCCATGATCCCTGTGTGTGTTGTAAAGTAGCCACCGCTCCAAGCTCGCTCCTGTGATTAGTAAACTAAACGTGAGACTGTAGTCTATCACAGGAGTGAGCTTGGAGGGATGGCTACTTTACAACACACACAGGGATCATGGGGAACAAAAGTAGCCATTCTCCAGAAGGAAGGACAGTGTCAGCACCAATTCAGAGATGATTTGAGGATCTACAGCCGAGTGATACAAATATCTATTATTTAAAATGTATCTTGAGGTACTTGAATGTGTTTAGTGTCACTTTAGTGTATTTTTTACTGAAAATTAGGGTTTGATAAACCATTGCATTAATAGCAAGTGACAAAAGTTTTGCAACTGCGACCATTTTATTCTCCTGGATCTCTGCTTTCAAAAAATATAAACCTGGGGGCAATCCTCAGGCCTAAAATGTGCATTTTAACGTGCAAAAAAGGGGAAAAACTGCTCTGGAAAGGGTTAACTGACTTTTTAGCCTAGTGCTTCAGGGTAGCGTAGTAAAACCTTCAGCACATTTTATAGTGCTGTGTGGATCATGACTATAAGGTGTTGAGGCTGTGCATTGCATTGTGGGAACAGCTAAGAGCTGTCCTTAGTGCTGACTTCTTCCAAAAGTCTAAATACTTAGGTGCAGTGTAGCAACAGACTGGAAAGCTACTTGGGTTGCTTTCCACTTGGCATAGTCTAGTCTACATTTCCAATGCTCAACTCAATTCATAAAACTTCTGACAGTATATTTATTTGTATTACAGCCTCCAATTGTATCGTCTTGCCTCCACTTTACTATTACAGCAGATGTGCCGAGTGTCTACATATGAGTCCACTTAGGCCCAGTGCCCCTAGTAATCAGCACTCAGAAACAGACCTAGTCTGAAGCTTCTTTCTCTTCCTCTGCAATGCAAGTCTGTGTGAGGACTGTGTCCTGAGGGGTGTTGCTATTACCTAGCTCTGCCAGCATAGAATACCAGAGTAGTATTATGTATATATGTTACGGAGTGGGAAGTATTTTAAGGCATTGAGAGGGTACAAAACTATAAAGGGATATAGAGCTGTGGAACCCAGTTACAAGAGTTACATTTAGGGTTAGTTAGGATGGGTTAGTTAGGACATTAGTTGTCTGACAGCTTTTACAACAAATATTTTAAGTGGAACTACAGCAGCTCTTACAGCCAAGGAAGGGGCCATCATAGACTGGATTGCAGTTGCCACAGTGCTGCACATTGGATCAGCTATGACACCAGCCATTTGAGGGCTTGAAAGTTTGTGAGCTGAAATAAGCGCACTGGCAATCTTAACAGTTGGCATGCATAACTGTTTTGAGAGGCATTAAATTGGTGGGCACAGCTCCTCTTGAAAGGAAAGCTTAATAGGCAAACTGAAGCATAGCGACAACCCTTTCTTCATGGCGATCCCATGTTTCTAACAGCCAAACACATGTGGAAAAATATTAATGAGGGTATCATAGCTGATTAGTCTGAATCAAGGGCTTTGATCCCATGACGAAATGGGAGTTTTGCATATTCAGTTCTATATAAAGTTACCCATAGACATTTGATTTGAACGCCTGTCAGGATCATGTGGAAGGAGGTCTCCTCAGGTGTCAGGTACTGGACATAAGTGTCTCTCCTTGATTTAATTGATTTTATATAATTATATGTGGTGATTTCAGTGGCCTAATTTTAAGTGGTGACATGATCACTCAGCTCTCGATCTATAGAGCCAGCACATGACAGCTGCAGTGTCCCATGCCAGCTCGAAGTACATGGAAGTGTATACCTTTCTGCTCCTTTAAAGCTTTAGGGCCCATTCACACCAGGTGCCTAGGGCTGCATGGGGTGGTCTTGCCCAGGACAGTCACAACACAACAAAAGGCAAATTGTCTTACGTCCCGTTTGTTCAGTTCACAAAGTTGAAAAATAAACCGCACATCGGCACTGTGTACTCCACAGCGCCCCCCAGTGGCCACATTACAACACAGCTTTGGGTGTGAATGAGCCCTCAGTGCTCACCTACAATGACAATTTTATTGCACATGAGCGATGTCGACTATTTCCTCCCTTGAAATTGGTGTGTTACAGAGGGAGCAGTTGTCAGTACGGCGTATCTCAGGTGCACAAACAATAAACAATCTTATGTAGTGGAGCCCTGTAAGGTTGTTGCAGTGTAATCGCAGAGCAGCATTTGGAAATACGAAAACACACAAATGCATTTTTTGTGTTTTATGTTTTTGATTTCTATAAACCAATGAATGTATGTGAATAGCTTAGGAAAGGCATCCTATACTATACAGTTCAGTGCAATGCATCTCAATAAAATGCTCATTTTGAAAAAGCTCATATACTATAAAGTAGACGGGAGGCTGGCAATCTAACCCTCTCCCCCTCTCCACTTTTCTTAAAGCAATCCCACTGGGATTCACAATCTTCCTAAATAGTAATGCCCAGTGCTATACCCCCCACCCCAGAGAGCCACATAAGCCAGGAACTGTGCTGTGGATGGGGGAAGGGGTGTGTGTGGGATATGCTTCCTCACCTAGAAGTCCAGGCTTGTGTTATGGTGTGTGGTTGGGATTGAAGAGCTTCACATGTGAATGCAAGAGGATTTGGAGTTTAGTAAAGCCGTTTCAGGCATCCCGGGGTGTCGGTGGTTAGCTTGTACTGTTACTGGACAGTTTAAAGCAGAACCTCCCAGGTTATAGAAAAATGAGTCCTTGCATTAGAGCTACCCCCACAAGGGTTAAGTGCTTGTTTTTCTCTAAGGGCGCAAATAAAGAAGTAATACTCACTGGATCCTCTGTCCTGCCTGGCTGCTAGACTAGCCTGTTCTCACCCCAGGAGAACACTTGCATTAGATGTGAAGACACTGAGGGACATACCATCCCAAAAGAGGGTTCTTTTGGGATGGTACGTATTATCCCAAAAGAACCCTCTTCAAAGGATCCACCTCTGCCCACTGAACACCCACCTGTCACCCCAACCAGACATCACGAGGAGATCATCACCTGTGTACCTATCCATCTCATCACACGTGAGAGCCCATTTCTCATTTCCACCCGCCTTCACCTGATTCACTGTTTTCCCTGGTCTATTCACCTCCACAAAGTCTGCACCAGTTATTTGTGCTCCTTCCCTCCCTTTCTTTCTGTTTATTTTGTACTGTTTGGCAGCGCCATCCGCGGTCACTGCGAGCACCCCCTCTTATTTAATTTGGGGCTTCCCGGTAAGCAGTGCGGCAATGTATTTCTACATTTGCTCTAGCAACACTGACACGAATCCTGCATTGCATTATTTTTATAGCGGCGGGACTTTATCTATGGCTTTGAATGGTGTAACAGAATGCATTTCAATGTTTTTATTGAGAGACTGTTCAGTCGTGGAGAGGTGTACATTTTTCTGACAGGCTTTTTGCTGTACTTGTACTGCCACCAAGTGTTCCTCTATTCTATTGCAATTTCTATAACCTCATTGCTAGAGTGAACTTTTCAGCTTCAGGTAAAAGGCAAATTATTGTAGAACTTAGGCCTGGTTCACACCTGAATGTTTTGTAGCACGTTCAACGCTCGACGAACGCTCTACAAAACGCTCAAACATCTAAATCCCATTGTATTCAATGGGTCTGGTTCACACCTTGCCGTATTTCCGCCCGTCCGAACGCGATACAAAACGGCCTACGCCCAAAGAAGTACATGTACTTCTTTGGGGCGTTTTGGTCTCGCGTTTCCATTGGGATACAGCCAAGTAGCCCACGGAAACGCGCGTCTGTCTCGCTGGTTTTTTTACCGCGAATCGCGCGACAAACGCGCATATTCAATACGCCTAGGTGTGAACCCAGCCATGGGAACCAGTAAGTGTAATCCGGGAGCCATTGAGCTCTCAAAGGTTTGACTGGCTTAGGTGGGAAGGATTGAAAAATGAAGGGGGATGAAGGCGGGTCCGTTTTAAATTTAGAAAGAGCAGCCTTAAGGCTTGATGCACTCCTAGGCGACATCGTTTTCACATGCTTTTTTTTTTACGCACATGCAATAAGTTGTGCCTTTTTATGAGCAGATTGTGACACATTGATGTAAATGGCAAAAATGTGTGTAAAAACGCGCAAGACCAATTGCAATGCGCATTTGCAAACTTTGCCTATTGACTCTATGGGGACAAAACAAGCTGTAATCTGCCAAAAAGAAGCTTGTACTTTTTCCAGTGACAGGTGTTTTGCTTATTGTGACAAAATGCTCAGGTGTGAACAGAGGCCATAGGAATAGTTGGGATTTTTGGGGGGAAGCTTTTTGTCGTGTCGCTGCGACAATAAGTGTTTGCACTCACACCTAAAAGAAACTTGACCCAGGTCTAGGCAATTGAACTGTGCATGTTGCACAGATTCTGATTTTGTTTTTTTAATCTTTTTATTGAGTTTTGCAGATTAGACATAACAGTCTGGGCTCCAAC